TGCTTGCCTACGGGAGCCGCGAGGGGCCTGGCCCCGGAGAACTCGAAGGGAGACCCGGTGGAATCCTTCCTCGCCTTTTCCTCCCCGGCATCGGCGGCGTTGAGGGGAAGCAATGCGGCTCCGCTGGCGAGGCGCGATCGTCCCGCCTCAGTGCCCCTCTCCTCTCCCCACCGCCTAGGGGCGCCCACAAAGCCCCCCCTCCTCCTTTTAAAGTCAAGGATGAGGCTGGCCCAGCCCCCCCGCCGGTGCCCAGCTCTGGTATATTTACTTCCGGCTTCCGGCATGGTGGTCAGCAGCAGAAACGCTGAGCTGCTGAGACCAGAAACCAAATCCAAAGGAATCCTGGGTTCCCCCCTCTTCGACCATCTCTAAACTGAGGGGAGAGAGACCCTGGGCCTCAGGCTTCCGGCAGAAAGACGAGAAGCCCGGGGAGAGAGCCAGGAAGGCGTAAAGAAGGTAAAGAAGGTGGTGAGGAGGAATAAAGGGAAAGCCGTCATTAAACCGCGGTCGGCCTTCTTCGTCTTAAAAAAGTCGCCGTTCTCAACACCAATTGGCGACCTTACCCTGGCTGCTTTTCTCCTCCGGCTGGCACTGCTGGCACCGCTGAGACCGCTGCCGCTGCTGGCACCGCTGAGACCGCCGAGACCACAGCCTAGCCACACCATCGCCAGGCCATAACAGCGCGGAGGCCGCCATCTGGCCGCCAGGTTGGATCCCCGCAGCGAGCGGCGCGGCTTGGATCGCCCTCGCTCCATTGGTGAGGTGCCGCGGCCGGGGAGATCTTTCCGCCCGGGAGTGGAGTGGGGCAGCGAACAACAGCCAGAAACGCCCTCCCTGCCGGGAGTGGCGAGGAACGGCGAGCCGCCATTGCTGTGGAGCCGCGGGGGGCGCCCCCCNCTGAGTTTTGGGGGGGCTGAGTCTGAGTGAAAGAGGGTCTAGCCTAGAAAACCTTTTGTATCGTTACCCCAATGCCCCCACGCATATGGGATATATTGAGTATGGTGATCAGATCATGATATGAATAAACATAACAGTTTAAATAATGCACCAGTAAGGCCTTTTCGCGAACCACCATGAGAATTTCGGGGGGCGGGGGCTGAAGCCCCTCAAGCCTGGCTACATGCCTGGTTCATACCCTCCAACATTTCACAGATGTAAACCAGGATACATGAAGCCAAGCATATCAGTGTGTGGTCAAGATGGCCATAATAAGAATAGATAAACCTGAAGAGGTTGCAGAAGTTTACTTTTGCTTGAGTGCACAAGGGAAAGTCAGGAGTCTCCCTCTGCCCATTGAATTAACTGAGTGCATTTTGTACTTTGAATTCAGTTTGCAACAGCTCAAGTAAGTTGAGGATGATGTGGAGAAGCAGGAGGAAGAGAGAGGACCTGGGACATTTTAGCCACTGGAATGTGGCAGAATTAATTATAGCCATCCCGGCCAAACTGGGACAGTTAGAGGTTATATCTGTGTTGTACTACTTCTCAGAATCAAAAGGAATCTTCCTCTCACATTAAAAATGTTTGTTTCTACCTCAAGTTCTTTCTGCGCAGAATATGAAGAAGTGTGCATAATTGGGTTATCAAACCCAACATGAATGAAAATTCTTACGCAGTGTAAGAATTTTCCAGCACAGATTTTGTATTATGAGCACCCATGGGAGATTGTTGTTAACTGCTATGCTGTGGATATAGCATATCTGGACTTCAGTAAGGCCTTCAACAAGGTCCCCCATGACCTTCTGGCAAACAAACTAGTCAAATGTGGGCTAGGCAAAACTACGGTGAGGTGGATCTGTAATTGGTTAAGTGGACGAACACAGAGAGTGCTCACTAATGCTTCCTCTTCATCTTGGAAAGAAGTGACAAGTGGAGTGCCTCAGGGTTCCGTCCTGGGCCCGGTCCTGTTCAACATCTTTATTAATGACTTAGATGAAGGGCTAGAAGGCATGATCATCAAGTTTGCAGACGACACCAAATTGGGAGGGAGAGCCAATACTCCAGAAGACAAGAGCAGAATTCAAAACAATCTTAACAGATTAGAGAGATGGGCCAAAACTAACAAATGAAGTTCAACAGTGACAAATGCAAGACTCTCCACTTAGGCAGAAAAAATGAAATGCAAAGATACAGAATGTAGGCAATGTCTAGCTCAAGAGCAGGACATATAAAAAAAATCTTGGAGTCCTTGTGGACAACAAGTTAAACATGAGCTAACAATGTGATGTGACGGGAAAAAAGCCAATGCGATTTTGGCCTGCATAAAAAGGAGTCTAGTGTCTAGATACAGGGAAGTCATGCTATCCCTCTATTCTGCCTTGGTTAGATCACATCTGGAATACTATGCCCAATTCTGGGCACTACAATTGAAGGGAGATGTTGACAAACTGGAATGTGTCCAGAGGATGGCGACTAAAATGACCAAGGGTCTGGAGAACAAGCCCTATGAAGAGCTGGGCATGCTTAGCCTGAAGAAGAGAAGGACGAGAGGAGACATGATAGCCATGTATCAATATGTGAGAGGAAGTCATAGGGAGGAGGGAGCAAGCTTGTTTTCTGCTTCCCTGGAAACTAGGACGCAATGGAACAATGGCTTCAAACTACAAGAAAGGAGATTCCATCAGAACATTAGGAAGAACTTCCTGACTCTGCCCCGGAGTGTGGTGGCAGCTCCTTCTTTGGAGGCTTTTAAACTGAGGCTGGTTTTATTGTGTTACTGTGTATTGTTTTATTATTTTACTGTTACTGCTTTAATGTTTTTGATTTGCTTTATGATTTATGTGTATTGGTTATGTTGTTGTTTTATTGAGGCCTTGGCCTTTGTAAGCCGCATTGAGTCCTTCGGGAGATGCTAGCGGGGTACAAATAAAGATAATAATAATAATAATAATAATAATAATAATAATAATCTGTCAGGAGTGTTTTGAATGCAATATTCCTGCTTCTTGGCAGGAGGTTGGACTGGATGGCCCATGAGGTCTCTTCGAATTCTATGATTCTACTATCCTGTTGACTTTGAGTTATGGTGATCCCATGAATGAGAGACCTTCAATGCACTATGCTATCAACAGCCCCATTCAGGTCTTGCAAACTCAACCCTGTGTCTTCCTTGGCTGAGTCTATTAATATGGAATTGAGTGTTCCTCTTAAATTACTGCCTTCCACCTTTCCAAGTATTGTTGCCTTTTCTCGTGTGTCTTGATATGGCCAAAGACAACAGTCTCTGTTTGGACATCTTGGCTTCTAGGAAGAGTACAGACTGTGTTTGTTGTAGGTCCCAGTTCTTTCTCTTTTTAACTGTCCACAGTATCTGCAGGACTCTTCTTCAGCACCACATTTTTAATGAACCGATTGTCTTCCTATCAGCCCCAATTCTGCTGCCTTCGCTTGCAAACCCACTCTGTCAAACAGGCCTTGTCGATAAGGGGCCCAGTTATAATTATGTCCTGGAAGAAGATTAGGAAATTAGTCAGGACTCACGGAGAGACCCGATCTGTTGTGAAAGGTTTTCTGTGTATTGCAGTCCAACATTTGCTAAGTCCCAGGGGTCCCCGAGACCTTCAGGAACCTAATTCATACTCTTAATGTAATTTATGTGTCTTATTAAAATATGAAGGAAATTCCCGGCCAAAAACTTAATTAACTCAAGGTTAAGGATGCTCAGAGGAAGAAACAGAACCGTTAATAAAAATAAATACAAGACATTTTCCAGAAGACGAAAATCCCCCTCATGATTTAAGTATGGAAACAAGAAGTTGAGATAATGCATATAAAAGATTCAAATTTCCTTATAGTTCATGCTAGGGTTTTTTTTCCCTATTAAAAAAAATACATAAATTGAGATTTTTGAAAATGAGACATTTAAATAGCAACTATAATCTCATTCTCTTTTTTTCTATTTCAGGTATGTTAAAAGCATTGTGGAATAATCTGTATAATAACTATAGCATGAAGCATAAAGTTATTTATTTTAGATGCCAAATAATTCATCCCCATATAATTTGCTACTTAGGAAATTAAGTAATTGTACAATACAAGAAATATTCAAGGAAGGAAGATGAGCACCAGTTACATGCCAGGGTCATTATCGAATACAATAGAGGGTTTCTGATGTGGTTGAATTAATATCCTAGCATTCTGCGCTCAGAAAAAAACTCAATGTTCAATGCTCCTTGAAAGGAAATTTT